CCGGACGGAGGAGTTTTCGCGGCAGGATGAGCTGGAGAAGCTGCCCGGCTGCTGCCCCCTCCTCACTTTTGGGGGTCGCGTTCCCCCAGCGTTTCCCGCTGCCCAGCATGTGGCTGTCCCTGCATGTCGTGTCCTGGCTCCGAGCTCGCCGCGCCCCGGGACCCTCGAGGAGGGCGAGCGGAGCCCCCCGGGCCGTTCCCACCCTCTGGCTGCCTGCCGGGGAGCCGGGGGCTTCCTACCTCAGTGACTGCTCGGGCCAGGGGCTTCTCCGGCCGCTCCTGGGGTGGTCAGCAGGTCCCAGCAGAGGAAGGTGTCGGACGGGCGCTGCCCTGGCGACTCGGGGTGTGAAGCGGGCATCGCCTTCCTCTCTGGGATCCAGGAAAGCCGAGCCCAGCCCTGCGGCTTCCCGGGATATTCCCACCCAGGACGGGTCCCCGTGGGGGTCTCGGCGGTCCCTGGGCCAGGGGAGGACTGCTGGTGACTTCCCACGCTGTCCCCGGGATGGCGGGAGCTGCTTTCCAAGTGCCCGAGGGGGGATGTGGCGTGAAAGGAGAGTTTTCCTGGTGTTTTGCCTCTTTTTTTTTGTTGTTGCCTGATCCGCAGGATCCAATCGCGTGTGCCTCTCCCTGGAGCTGTGAGCGATGTTTGGAATAAACGTTGAGGGCTGTGTGTGACGTGGCCTCCGCTGTCGCTGTCGCTGGGAGGGCTCTGGATGGGCCAGTCCTGCCCTGGGCTGATCCCCTGGAGTTGTGGGACTGTCCAGAGGCGGAATCCTGGGATGGTTTGGGGAGGGAGGGAGGGACTTTAAATCCCCTCCAGAGCCAGCCCAGGGACATCTCCCACCGTCCCAGGGTGCTCCAGCCTGGCCTTGGGGACACTCCCAGGGATCCAGGGGCAGCCACAGCTGCTCTGGGAATTCCATCCCAGCCTCTCCCCACCCTCCCAGCCAGGAATTCCTTCCCAAAATCCCATTTCAATCCCCCCTTTCCCAGTGTGACCCCATTCCCTGTGTCCCCAGACCCTCTCCAGCTCCCTCAGCACCCTCAAAAGGAAGAATTTCACCTCAATATCCACCCAAATCTCCACTTTTCCTACTGTGAACCCAAACTCCATCCACCCTGGGGCACTCCCAGGGATCCTCTGCTCCAGGAATTCCATCCCAGTCCCTCCC